TGTCTCTCTCTCTCTCTCTCTCTCTCTCTCTCTCTCTCTCTCTCTCTCTCTCTCTCTCTCTTCACACCCCCTCTTTCTCTTTCACTCACCAATTTACAAATCCTCTTTCTTGCATCACCACTCATGTCCCTTGCACTACTCACCTATATCTCTATTACAATTGCATTGTATCTCACTTTTAAAATTTGAATGGTACTGGCAAATATGCAAGTATGGTAGTGGACAAGGAGAAATTGTTCGCACTACTTGCACAACAGGTTTCATTCAACTTTCACTGCAATAACAATCCATCCATCCAACTTATATAATAGCTGGCCTATAAACATTCCTTTTCCTTCTTTCCCAACTTATAATCCTGACATTTCTTTACAAGTTCATGGCATCATTGGAGACCAAAAATAGCTACAAGCTATTTATCAAATAACAATATTCATATTCGGTTTACTATGGCCACTTCACAATCATCAAGAGGTCACTAGAAAGGCATAATCAGCCCAGACATACTGATTCACATTGAGCCCCATGAATGTGAGATTGAGGGAGAATACAGAGATACATTTTTCATGACAGAATTCATGGAGCAAAACATCAATATGAAAGTGAGAGTGAAAATTATCACTGTTACAAGCATAAGCGTGTGACTTTGTTTAACCTACCTCTGAATCCCAATAAAAACGGAATGGTCACAATGGGATTTCATTGAAATATTATTATTGTATTGTAACTTATCTACTTCAATAGATCTGCATCGAGTGTCCTTTCCGGAGTTGTATAAATGATCCATTTTCACATGTTTACTGAGTAAAATACAGAGTATAATAAGTGCGCTCATTAGAACTTTCAGCAGTTGCAAGCGCTGTAAAACTCTTATTAAACTAACTGAGCAAAATACAACCTTATTTGTTTTGTCTTAATCCATCTCCTACTAGTACATCTTAGTACACCTATAGTTGTGAACAGCTAAATGCTCGTCAATGTCATGGAGATTTGAGGAACAGCACCAACCCAATCAAATGAGCATAAAAATGTTAGGTCTAGCATAACATCTTCTTCACAAAAGGTATACTAGTTTATCATATTTTGGGTCAATAGTTTGGAAATCACTCTTGGTCAGTACATGTCATGGGCTTGTGATTTACCTTGCAGAGCTTTCAACAATGGACAGGACTCCGCAAAGCATTACAGATTGTCAGCTTAAGTACAGTATCTTACACGATACAGTCTGTTTCACAACACAATGTGTAGGCCCTACATCATAAACAGACTTCAGTTGTCACTTGTATTCAACAGCCGATAATTCAAAACTCTCTTCGTGTGTGTCATCAAGGAGAGGAGTGGAGGGCGTTTCTGATTTGTCAGCAGCTGGTTTATGGACCAAAACGTCCACCTGAACAGGAGATTTCAGTGATGAATGTCTGGCCTCAGGTTTTTTCTTCCCAGGCTTTCCAGTTTGTGGAGAACTGGGTGGTACCATTGACCTATGAGAAGCAGAACCAGTCACATTAGCTGGTAAACTTTTAGGTCTTCCACTGCTACCACTTGCAGCTTCTTTTGCCTGAAGGAGGAAAATGGTCTCACCATCAGAATCATCATTATCTTCCTCTTCTGTTTCTCGAGAATCTTCTTCTTCTTTTCCTTCTTCACCCTCACCCACGTGCTTTTCAAAATTGTTCGAAAACAAATCTTCATCCATATCATACAACACTTGCACTTTGTCTGAAATGCAAACACTTTTCCCTGACGAGGCGGATTTTGTTCGCATTGCTGAATTTTTAGAGTTGACAACTTTGGGAGATGCTGCTTCTCTTTCCTCAGAAGGATCATTTACAATGGGCAACACATCTGATGACTCTACTATTGTTTCAGGGTACTCGGGTGTCGGAACAGAATCAGTGCCATTAGCATTAATGTCACTACTAGCAACTGAAATCACAGAGGCTTTTGAGTCTTTGCGGCCATCGTCCTTCATCTTTCTGAACTCTGGTTTCTTTTTAAGATTGTTTGATGCCACGTAATATTTGAGGAATGCTTCTAATGAGCGCCGTCCACGCTCAAGGACAAACTCAATGTCTGCTGGTTCCAGTACAAAATCGGAAGTTCCCACATGACCGGTGTTGATGCCTACAGTTCTTTTCAGGTCTGTGTCCTGGAAATAGATAGGAAAATGCATTTCTTTGCGTCAAGAAAAGGGAGGTGTCGATATCTTTTACATTGGGGATCAGTCAGTTTAAGGATTAAGTTAAACTTGTTAATCACCCTAACTCAACATCAACTCATTGCACTGTGTCAACAAATACAAGCTGATGTTACACATTTACTGTAAAACTCTGGGGGTGGTCAAAGCAACATCAGCATCTCAACCATCAAATCTGTACAACATTTTATAAGACATTAATTAACTTTCGAAGCCCCATTCATTTTTAAACAATAGAATTTTAAATACTGCCATGAATGTGAACAAATTCTGAACTTAAACCAAATATAAAAAGAAAGAATGAAATAAACAAAGAAACAAAAAAAGAAACAATGCCTACATAGATGTATAAATAAATGACTTGTATATAAAAGAATTAACAAAATAAATAAGTGCTAGAATGAACAAAATGTAAATGAGTAGCTCAATAAATCAAGATTAGATTATAAAGAAAGAAAGAAATTAATATAAATGGTTTTAGAATGAACAAATAAGTAAATAAGTAAAAGTAAATTAGAAAGTTAATAAATCAATACAAATTTTTAAGAAATAAAGAAATTGCTAAAAAGGCCCCGACCCTGCTCACCTTGACATAAACACGTTTCACGTTGGTCAGTAGAGTAGCCTGAAGTGTGTCCAGAAATGTGGGAAAGTTCTTGATGATCCGTCTCTGATATCCCAAAAAGCGATTCTGCATACTGATTCCAGTCTCTTCCATAAACTTGACCAGCTCATTGTAGCTGATCTGGTGATCAAAACAGTAAGAACATTAGATTGTTATTTTTTGTACAGTTTGACAACCTATTAAACGTAAAGGCAGGGCACTGGGATAAAAGATTTGATCAAAGAGAGAAAGGAAAAGGACAGAAACAAGGGATAGAATATATGCCAAAGAAAGTTTCACCTGTAAATTCTGATGATGTGCAATATGTGTATTTATTTATGCCCTATCCTTATCTTAACAACTAACCATAGCGCAAGGAAGAGGCAAAATATATTAATTTTGAGATTTTGATTGACAACCCTATTCTCACTTATCAAAAGACTAAAACAGTACATTAGCCAGTGCCCCCATCCATCCATACAATTTCCACACAGGTCAGGCATACTATGGCCATCTATGCATCAGCATTATGTAAATCTAAAGAAGTTTCAAATATTCAGGTTTCCTTTTCTGTAGATAGGGACCAACATTATGTCATTTGCAACAGAAAGTTTGTCCTGAAATGCCTTTGCGCAGTCAGTTTTTTTATTGCCTTTTGATCCTCTTTTTCAATATGCATATTCCCTCTGACATTCTTTGTGTGCATCTCTGTGTTTGCACTATATCTATGTCTTCATTAATTGGGGCACACCTGTCTACTTACTTTTCCTTTATCTACTCCCCCCCCCCCCCTCTTGAAAATGAAAACTTCAAAACAACAACAACAACAACAAAAACCCTGCAACACGAAAAATCAAACAATAGGTACAACAAGGTTTTTATTATTTTCAGTCACCGTCCATTTGTCTGTTGAAATGTCTCTCTATCTGCCTCTCTGCCTTTTTGCTTTACTAATATTTCAAAACCATTACCTGTCCATTGTGGTCTTTATCCAGATGGTCGAGTATGATGTCACTGCCAACATCCCCAAACAGGATCAGTCTCCGTTTCTTGGGAAAATATTCCTCCTGAAAGGGACAACAATAATAGTATACTATAACAACAAACCTTATTGCTTCTGAAGATCTTAATTCCTAAATAGAATAAGACATAATCATTAGCGCTAATTAGCTATCTGTCACTTTGTTCCTTACAGACAGACAGATGTCATTAAGTATGCATTTACACTTTCATAAATTCACTGAAAATTTTCAAAACGTTTCATTTGTCTTTCTTTCTGTGTATCACCTTTCAACTGACATAGTAAACTTCATGATCAAGATGGCAGGCAAATTATTATCTGTGCTACTAAGGGTACATAGCTGATCTAGTTATATACTTCTACTAATTCAGTCCTTTCTTACTTAAATTAAATGGTATTGTATAAAAATATTTAATAGCAGGCCATTGACAATTCGCCTGTTTCCAGTGAAACTATGTTTGCTTTTTAATTTTAAACAATTATGATTTTTGTTCTCATCTATACATCTAAAGCCAAAGGACTAGAACTCAGATGACACTACATATGAAAAGTAAAAATATTGAGAGCTGCACTAATCATAACTGAAAGCAAAGAGATTAATTTTAAAACTCACATCTTGAAGGGCTGCTTCCAGCTCTTCTCTGTCTATTGTGTCGTTCTTGTCTGCGTTGTGTTTCCTCAAAGACTGCATAGGTAAATAAAAAGTACATTATCATTAATATGTAGAAGAAACGAAGAAAGGAAGACTTCGATTGTGGTTTAAGAAAAGAGAAAAGGAACCTTAAATTCATTACCAAAAATGAACTGGTTTTGTTACCCCTTTGAGCCCTGGCCTCCTTAGGCTACCGTGCCTCTCTACCTGAGCTCCTGAGCGATACTAACATTCATATGATCATCAGAATCCCATTCCATATCCCACTCAGGATAGTCCTCACCATTATCAACATCTAATTCAGAGAGATCTTCAAAAAAATCAATATGCATAATGTCCTCTGTAGTAAATGCTGTTTTGCGTATGCCTTTTACGCACCACCGGTGTACTGGTGGCAAGAGCTCAAAGAGTTAATTAGAAAATTAATGTTATTATAATAAAATAGGCCTAATGCTTTTCCTTAAATTATGGATCCTCAAAGGAAAATTTGGGAAGATAAACCAAAACATCAACATACAAAGATTAAGCATGAACACAGAAATGCACTGATCACATTTATGCTCATTGATACACATACAATGATGCACAACTCACTCACACAAGCATTCCTAAACAGTGTATCCAAGGGCATGAACTCTCTCTCTCTCTCCCTCTCCCACACTCTTTCTTTGTCTTTCTGTCTGTCTGTCTGTCTGTCTGTCTGTCTGTCTGTCTGTCTGTCTGTCTGTCTGTCTGTCTGTCTGTCTGTCTGTCTGTCTCACTCCCTCTCTCTCTCTCTCTCTCTCTCTCTCTCTCTCTCTCTCTCTCTCTCTCTCTCTCTCTCTCTCTCTCTCTCTCTCTCCACCCCCCTCCCTCTCTCTCACTCTCACATGAACACACACACACACACACAATACACACACACACACACACATACACACACACACACACACACACACACACATACACACACACACACTCACAATCTTCTTTCTGTCTCTTCCATACACAGCAGGCATATGAAAAGTGCATAATCTCACCTAAAACAGAAACATTCTAAATTCTTATTGTCTAAGTTACTGAGATGTAGAATCTTTTAAATAATGGTTTCATGAATTTAAAATAAATTGGGTAGGGCCTATAACTTACTTAGATCTAAGTGTTCAAGCTCCTTCTTTAAAAAAGTCAGATTAATTGGAGTATTGTTCTAGACTCTAATAAATTGTTCAATTTTCCATTTTCTCATTGAAGCCTTTGTTTTACAACCCATGTGAAGACCACTTGTCAAAATGCTTTTCATGCTTAAGCCAGTATCAAGTCATTCAGCTATTGGATTTGTTTATCATACATAATATAAGCAAGATCACAGAAGGCTAAAGTCTGTCTGGTGGGAGGGCACTCCTATTTCATCATTTACGCAAAGATTCATTTTCATTTTGCATAATATCATATTAATTTGTACAAATGATGACACAGATGTAGGAGGAAGTCTTACCCTTAGAAATGCATTCATTGCTTTTACAAGACGCCTGTGTTCACGGTCTGTCTTCACCTGCAGCTTTTTCTTCTTGATCTTCTCACTGAAAATTCACAGTAAATAAATACTATATAACACTATTGTTTTCGATATATGAGGATCAATGAACATGACAAAATTTAACAAACTTCTGTTTACAAAACCATAGTCAGAGGTGCATACAATCAGAATCCTAGTTATGCCTTTGATTGAAGGACTGTCGACAGACATTCTCATATGTAACACCCACATCAAGGCATATATGAAAATCTATTTTATGATTTTCCCAATGTTGTGATAGTATACAAACATTTGGTTGAAAAAAATGTTCTCATCCATTCGACAGAAAATGTAAACAAAACAAAAAAAGCTAAAATATTATTCATAAATCCCTTATCTATATTATCAGTAACATGAGTCCAAGCAAACCATGAAAGACTTAAAAGGAAAACTTTAATGCAAAATGTCTACAAATATATGTTTGACGTTATTTTGAAATACATAAACTCAACATTAAACAGGTTAGGGACAATTGATTTAAATAATGTCAATTATTACCGTGCCAACTTGGTGTTAGGAAGATCTTGCAACTGAACTCCATGTCTCAGGTTCTCTAATTGGTACTTGAGAAGGTCTTGCTCATTGTCAGCATACTGGAAGGCAAATTTGGAAATGATTTATATAAACAACAAAAATAGCTTCCCTCAGTAACAGGAAAGTCAAAAGCATAACATAACTATAAGTAGGCCTAATTAGTATATAAAGCGTGACGTCTAAGAGGCAGCTGACAATGCACACTAAAATCTTTAAAAGTGTTGCATTTCTTCGCTGAAGTCAAAGATAATATTAAAGAGGCTAAAACAGCACCTGGACATGGATGGCTGGTGCCTCTATAAATAAATCATTGATGGTCAGGTCAGGTCAAAGATAATATCTACGTATATACTTTCATAATAGTCAGAGCTGACTAGAAAAAAGTATATTTTTCAAACGACTGTTGCAACATATTTTCAATATAACTGATTATCTTGCTTTTTTCAAGAGAAAGATTTTAGTTAAAATGATCATGTGCTACGTAGCAGATGTGACGATTGTAGTTGCACTCTTACAAAGGACTAATTTATAGCATTTACTCATTTATCACATCCTGTAGTTAGTTATCTAAAAACTTGGCATATGTAAGTATTGAACAAGGTTATTTCATCCTAGATATTGAAAAGGCTTTATACACCTAGGAAGACTGAAATAAAAGTGTACTCACCAGCTGCAAACCCAAAGTCTTCTCGTTATAAGTTCCGAATCTTTCAGTTCTCTCCAGCAGTCTTGGTATGTCCTCCAAAGGTTGAAGCTTTTCCAAGAAACTGTCTTCAGGTTCCGTGGATAGCCACCACCCTGAGGTAAGAAAGATGCAGGTAAAGGTTGTCTTCCAAGACATGTTTCTCATAGTACGTTTTATTTTGTGAGTTAAGACTTACCTAGTAAAGAAACATATCGTTATCTTAAACAAAAATGTTCCCACTAAGATTAAAACAACAATGAAAATTTCCCTGATTCACGATAGTTAAATATATACGGTTACTTTTATAAGTGCCCCACTCTCTCCAAATCTTCCTTCTCTTTAGGCAACCGTCTATAAAATCAAAGCTATAATCAGAACATGCATGGCAAAAAGTGTGTCTACAGATTCAAATGCATGAACAAATTTATGCATAAGAATGTGCACACACACTCTCACACACATACAAACACACACATCTATAATTCTTGACCCTATAAACCAAAAAGGAAAATAAACACAAAGCTACTAAATAATTAAATCAAAATTTAATTTTATATTCGATTCCAAAAGTCAGATACAATTTATCTTAACTGAAAAATATGAGAATTGTTTACCATCGAAGCAGTGGATTGGGTAGTTGCACAAGACACCCCCATCAACAAACACATCAGTTTGACCATAGACAGTGTGCTTGACAGCCTGGAACATTCCTGGAACAGAGATTCATAGATTGGTCAGCATTCACATGGAGCCTTTAATCAAGGCTGTTTTCAACCTTAAGGAAAATACAAATACATACTTGATTTTTATTGCCCCTTAAATGCCTCTGGGAATGGGGGTTTGGGATTGATAGGGGTTGGAGGCTGTGGGGGTGAGTTGTGGAACTGATCTTTACACTAGACAGAGACAAAAAAGTTAATATTATGTGATGATACAAGAAAGAGATTTAACATCCTTCCCAGTCGTTTCTATTCTTCAAACTTCGGTTTCTCTATAATGTTTTCAAAATGATTTTCCGATACTTGACATGAACCTCTCTCCCAAAAGGTATCAAGTAAGTAGAATTTCAAGGATGGATAAGCTATAAATACACATTGCATTTATTCCTCTTCGCAGAAAAGCATATCATGTGTTCTGGGTTGCTTTGTTGTTATAGTCAGTCAAATATCAGTTGCTTCAGGTTGTCAAATGACTGGATCGTGGACCTCATTACACCCAATTTTTAAATCAATTTTTGGTTGTTTTTTTTTTGTTTTGTAGATCTGAACACGCGTAAGCCTACTGAAGTAATCCCTTTGATTAGTATTGTTCAGTACATCTTGTAGTTATCAAAAGAAATGAGACATTTAGGGGAAAAAGTTTCTGCTGAAAACTTCAAACTTACTTTAACAAACAGTATAAATGCTACAGAGCTGACAAGATTTCTGTTCCAACACACTGTTCCTAAAACCAAAATATGTGATTGATCAAATCTGAAACTTGTAGATCACATCTGAAACTTGTAGCCTTTGACACAACCATTGCTTTGTACTAAACAAAATAGGCAATTTCTCAATGAATAGGCTTTCTGTAGATCATTGTAATTGATGATTTTTCTCGAAACTGACAACAGATAATAGGACTATTTTATGGAGTGAAGAAAGCTAGTAAGTCATAATCACAGAATGAAAGAAAAATTAATGGGGGGGTTTTTTGGTCTCCTTGAGAGATCAAGATCAAATTCGGAAACCATGTAGCAGTAATTTCATCTCTGTTCTTACCTGGGATACTCATAGACATGCGCACTGCAAGCCTCACAGGCATCTCAGGAGTGGTTTTTGGATGGCAGTACAATGATGTCATCTGGTTAAGGTTGGTGACAACAATGCAAAGCTCTCTGTCAAACATATCATGCACCTACGAGAGAGTAGAAATAAACATACTTATTACTAAAACTGTAAGTGAAAACATTGTTGTTCCGCTAAAGTAAAGAAGAAAGATTATGTTCTTTAACTTAAAATAACAACACAAAGTTTGCAAAGCACAACATATACCAAAGACAATCCATTTTGTTTAAATCAGTATCATTTATGTCTGTAGAATTATCTAAGTCTACATCTGTGCTGGCTGATGTGAAAAGAAAGGATAGGCCTAGGTATTGGGTAGACTGAAGTAAACTGATGATCGGAGGTAGAAGGGCGGGAGAGTTGTTTCCCTGACAGACATTGAAATTTCTGAGAACATGGACTGAAATCCTCCTCCTCCTTTATTCTGTCCTCTTCTTCTTCCTCCGCCTCCATTTTTCCTTCTCCAGTTGTAGCAAGAAAGACAGACACAGCGAAGTCTTAGACAAAAACACCCACCTGTTTGAATGTAACATCTGGATTGCCCGTCTTATGCTCAAGTTTTTGTCCAAACCATTTGTAAATCTTCTTGCCGGGGTTCCAGCCGTATGATGACAGCAAGTTCGGCAAAAGACTCAGGTACCCAAACTTATGATCTGAAAAGGAAAAGCATGACTTTTTTGTGTTCTAGTTCTAGGGCCACACAGGTGCACATCAAAGGGACGGAGTATTCAGTTGTGACGCGCATGAAAAGACACCAGTTAAATTTCCACTGTCATTGATGTGAACGAAAAAGCACTGTACAAAATTGTCTTTCATACTACATCACAATGTAGAGACTCCAGATTCATAATTAGGACCTGATATAGCCCGTTCCAATTTATTAACCACACAACTAGGAGAATAAATGTAGAAAACTAGAGCGTACATTTTATGATTCTAAAATGCTCAAACAAAACCATTTTATACAGTTCTCGTGGGTTGAAATAATTTCTTCTTAACCGTTTGCCCTCAAGTGGATTGGAAGGGATGGGACAGTACAGAAACTGCGCGAATTATTTCTCCAAAAACTATTCAGACTCTGTAGTGTACAACGGAATTAATTTTGAAAAAAAAAATTGAGCAAGAAATAAATAACAAATCAATTAATAAAAGAGAAAAGTATAACTATGAATTCTAAATGGCACCAATGATGACTCACCCAAGAAAATGTCGTTGAGATTCAAGCTGAAAAACTTCTCCAGGTCGTGTGAGTCGTACCCCACAGCTAGCAGAGCAGCAGTCATTGCACCAGCACTCGTGCCAGCCAGACGTTTGATCTGAGGCCAGACGTTCAGCTCCTCGAGCAGCTGAAGTAGACAAAAGGTGAATAGAGTTGCAGGTGTGTGTGCAGGAACATGTGTCATCAACGTGCAATGCCAAAACTATATTTAAAATACTAACAGCAAGTGACAAAACATAGCCCAGTCGGAGATGAGGAGAGAATTTAAGAAGGCGGTTGCAATGGATTGGGCATAGTCTCAGGAAGTCAGGCAGCTGCATAACAAGGAAAGTGTTGGATTGGAATCCGTAGGGTAAAAGAACAAGGGGGCGACCACGTGGAAACCTGACAAGAGTCACAGAGATTAATGTACAGAAAAGTGGGAAGACATGGAATAACATCAAGAGGCTTTCCCAGAATAGGAAAATGTAAAAAATGTTTGTTCGTGGCCTATACCCTGATCCAGGATGAGAAAGGCAATGATGATGATCAAAGTATCACAAAGAGATATGGTCGGAGTCAGTGTGGAGCCCCCTGATATAATTCAGTTTGAGAAAAGAGAAGCATAACGACGCATAAACATTCATTTAATGCAGGGGAAAAGTAAGATAAACCGAAAAAAGTAGCAGTGGGGAAAGAAAAGAAGTAGGACGTACTCTAGTGTCGTCCTCCAACTACCTGCATAATTCAGAGAGTAATATTCAATGCTATGCCGAGGGCAAAACCAAAACAAGAACGTCTCTCCCTGGTCTGTCAATGTAATGTGTTCCCTCTAAGTCGTTCAAAAGCCTATGATAATGCAGAAATGTTTGTTCTGATATGAAGCACGAAAAAACAAAACAATGAGGGCCCCCCAAAGAGGTTATATATGGCACTATTTATAATCTCTCTGGGGTGCCCCGTATATAAGGACCGTAATACCTGGGTCGTTTGAGGACAATCCAAGGTATGCACTCAAAAAGGTGTCTTATTTCGTGGATCTTTTCAAATCTAAACTAAAACCGTTGTGTTGAATTTGCAAAGTAAAAAAAAAAGAAAAAGAAAATCTCATGATGTCTCTGCGTTTTCACAAGGTGTTCGAACCATGATTATACAGAGGGGTGCAAAAATTGGTATACAGTTATAAAAGAAACAAGTAAATCACCCATTGCATTAAGTATTCAAATATTATTAATATTGCATCTACATGTGGGTCCTATGCGTGTAGGCTATTAAATAACACATCCTTCATCCCCAGGTACTCAAACTGCTTGCCGATCAGTATACACGCATCTTCTAATTATTTTTACTGAATTAAGCATTATAACATGTTATTGAAGATGTGATATTTTCTGTGTAGGTACCTACTTTTTCTCCCCCACCCTCCCCACCCCTTTTCACTTTTTTTCAAGAACTTTAGAATCTAGACGCATCTATCAATACGTGGACAATCTGTGACAGGGAACTTCAGGACACAGTATCTTACACCTTTCCTCCATTATGACGTGATCTCGCAATTTCTTTCCCGTGGAGTGAACACAGCCTGTCCCATTTCGAAGTCCGAAACAGCAGTGGCCTTTCTGGAGAGAGTCTAATTAAGGTAAATTTTACAGCCCTTGGGTACCGCAGGTATGCAAAAGCTAGTTTTCCACCATCTCAGGAGGAAGGCCTAGATCTACAAAACAGTTAGTTCTTCATGAAAAAAAAAAATAACCCAAGACAGTTCCAACAGGCCGACAGTGATTGCACTTCTTGCGCCCTCAAAATAATAATCATTTTCACGGAACCATTCAATTAAGTTTCTATAGTTTTTCCCTGTTCTACAAATCAATGTACCGGTAATGTCAAAGTTACCATAATCAATGCCTCAGCCGCTTCTTTTGATACTGAAGCCACAGTTACTAAGATTTTTTTTAAAAAGCACAAAGAATACCTCGTGGTGCGAATGAACAGAAGAATACTTTAAGAAGTCAGGTTTAGGACTAATAATTATTCATCGATTTAGACTCATTTGTTTCAGTCTTAGCTGGAATGTGTTACCAGGTGCTGATATGTCTTGTTTTCCGTGCTGCCCTTGTGCGTGTATAATTAATGTATGGCTGAGAACGTTTTTCCTTATGTAGTTGAACTTTTGTTTTTAGTTTTTTTGTTGTTGTTTTTGGGGGG